TGCATATACTCGTAATTAAAGTTTAGTTATATTGCAGACCAAATACACTATTGATCTTCAATTCTCAATTTTGCGGACGGGGAGATTCTCTATAACATACACGGTATGTATACCTATGCGCTTTCAGTTCATACACGTTTAAGCCATGTCTACACGTGTATGTGCATATGTAACATACGGAAGGATTAGCTACAAAAGACTACGCAAATTAATAGTGAGTGCTAGGTGATCGGTCGTGGTTGTTGAACGTGCTCTGACACAAACAACTCAATTAACTTTGCAACGTAATAAAAAGGTGCAATGCTTTACGATCAACAAGACACACTGTCCACTAGATAAGGTAAATTTACTTTACGCGTTAATTTATTGTAATTCGCTTAACTACAATCGACGCGTTGCGCTGCGACAAACGCTGCAAGATTTTTCGCTGTTTAAATCACATTTGTTATTAAACAGAAAGAGATAAAATTTTATGTATTATATATATACGCTTTAATTAATAAACGGTACGTTTTAATTAATTAATTTTAAATATCACAAGAAAAAATCAAATATTGTTATATACACCAAAACTTTTCTTGTTATAACTGAAAACCCCATTTTTTCCTGCATAAAACTCGATTTTTTTCTGTATAAAACATCATGTCAACTAAAAGTGAGTTAGAAGGACATTAGCTTCCTGCAGTGATGTCCAGCTGAGAGCATCGTTCGCTTTCGTGTACGAAAGTTCTTCAAACAAAAGGCAACCGTGTTGCGGCCCATTTTATGTTATCGATCCGCAAGTTTCCGCAAGCGTCGAGTTACAACATTTCCATCACCGTCCAACAATGTTGTCCGCGCATTCGTAAACGTTTATCGTCAAGCAATTCTCTGTGGCGCGAAACTTCGCGACATGCGTACGTGCTCGTATAGGCGCGCATTGTTGTAAAAGTAAAGTAACGCGAAACGTAGTAATTAACACGAATGTGAATCAGTTTGATTGCTGTAATTAAGCAGTATATTGTATGTCGCAAAGATTGACATACTCAGAAAGTTACACGAATTATTACCGATGTCAGAAACACGTGTGTACGAATCGCAAGTATATCAACGGCTCGATCGCAAATTTCCACGCACTGCAAAACCGATGTATGTATATAAATACGTCGCGATCACGTCGTGTTGAATCTCTGCGATGTAGTAATAATAGAAATCGCGTTACTACGCACGGATTGTTTTTCATTTAAATAACATATATGATTTATGCGAATAAAAGATTGTTGCAGATTTGTGCTTTATAATATTACTTGCTTTTAAAAATCTATTCTAGTCATCAACATTTATTTATGTGCCTTTAAATATATAGTGTGCTACACAAGTATATAATTATACAAGAATTTTTATTACAAGATTAATTTTGTTTGTTCTTTCTATCGACAAAGCTCTAATAGCTGAATTTCGAACACCTACTGCACAACTTTCAGGCGCAGCGCAACGGCGTATGCAGCATCAAAGAGTACCGTCTAATTAATATGCATTCGATTTACCGACGGTTCTCGTTTTTTTTCGCATAAACATTTCATCATGCACAGCTGTCTTTGAAAGGCTTTTTTCGAACTTTGCTTCAAACATTCCTCCATTTTCCTTGATTTTATTCTTTGCAAATAAAACACGAGTTTTTAACTTAACGTGTTATAGTTTCAAGTATAGATTTAAACGCTTATTACCTTTGAAAATCATCACGAAAATTTTCCATTATTCATATCGCGCGATCACGATTAATCTACAGTACGATATTGACGACTTCGATAACACATTTTTCCATCATATTTCTCGGTTATTCAGATGAATGAATAAAAACGTACTTATTGAATATCAAAGTTGCAAAGATCGTTTTTTTATTTAACGATTTTCTTATATTTAAAAACAACACAAGAAGCAAACATTGACAGATAATAAAAAAGTAGAACTAAGTTTACTCTAAGCTTTTAAAATATTGTAGAGTCACACAAGTTGCGGCCGTAATATTTTCCAGATACAATCTCGTCGTACGAGGCATAAAGTGGGCGAACAGGGGAAAATAAAGTATAACGATGCATCGACGAGACGCCGTCGTATTTAATATCTCATTTGCCTTTGACACAGATCGATAAAGTCCGCGATTTCACCGAAGATGACACGAATGTTACGGCAATATTGCGAGATTCCGCGATTAATGTCTTCGTGATCCAAAATTCATGTGTAATATTCCCGAATGAATATTGAAATGTGTGATTTCTTCCGTTTTGTTGTGTCTATTTGCATCTCGGAAGCAGAAACCAATAAGTCTTTTTTTATTGGAAATAACACAACTTGTCCGTGTTTTGCTATTTTCGATTTTTATTGTTTTGATTTTTGCCTTCGATTTTAAACCACTACAACGGCGGAATATATTTTTCCGTGTCACTAGTGTGACAATATATTTCAATAAAAAAAAGCAAAAATATTATTTATTTGTTTTTCAATTTCAAAATAACATCCGTAGATTTTCTATTGCGTTTTTACTGGTTTTATCAAGAAGTCGATGACGTAACTATGTTTGGACGAACGTTCTTAAGCTAATGTGAAAATTTTACGAGGATTATCGGGTTTAAGCTTTCTTCTGGCAATCTTTATTGCATCAAGTGGTCGGAAAAAATAAAGTAAAAAAAGACGAAATAGTATATTTATATCGAGTAGCGTAATATATTTGTTGTTTTTTGTTAGTTATTTAAAACACGAGTCAAAAATAAATAAAAAACGTTAAAGAAGAGAGAGAGAAAGAGAGAGACATAATGTGATATAGTTTCCTTTTCTATTTCCTGAAGATAGTGGAAAATTCGGATGAAATCAATATATAATCTCCAATTGCAATTCGCTAGAACGATTTCACACACATGGTGCGCCCTAGTATTATATTCTGTCCTTGAGGTTTCCATTTCAAGCTTTCACATCGAGCGAATTACGTTAGACAAACCCGAAACAAAAACGTCACGCGCGCGATTGGTAAGATACAATTTCGCAATACTCTAGCAACTACAATAAGAAAGTTTAGTCATGCAACATCGTTTCGACTGACTTCCCTTGTGACATCGGAGATTGCTGGAGTATATACATATATACATACGCGTAACAGTGATGTATCACTTCAATGAGAGTAAATAGCGGTAACACTTCGACCGCGTTCCGAATTAAATTCACTATCAGTATTGAACATACAATTACATGTTACATAAATCATAGATTTTCATTATTGACAATAAACGGAACGCAATCTTTATAGCACGCGTCAACGTTCAAGATTTAACAATAAATCTGTGAACTTGAAATATTACACAAATAATAAGAAAAATTATCCAATAACCGGTCAATGCCGGTTCGAAATTTCGCGACAGTTCATTGATTACAACAAATTTAACACGTATGTTTCGATCTTAGTTTGAAGTCGAAAACAACCAATTCTTGAAATATTACCTCAATATAGTCTAATAAATAAATTATAGTTTGGTTATTAAAATCTTTGTTATTATATATTTCGAGCGACAAACTTTTTTATCTATTAACAACTTAAAAACCAAACAAAAAATGTGTTTCGAGAATTGAATTATACACGTGTATTTTACTTGTTTTACCTGTTTTTAGTTCATAGTAAGAAGCATCATAAAAGCTGTGGATGCATAATCGTAAAACGTATAGAGCTTTCAGACGAAACGAGTACTAAAATTTGACGCAAGTTTGATCGTACAAGACCTGTCCTACAGGTTTTATTCTCGCACGTATATGTACGTACATTTACTTTTACACATACTACATGAATAAATTTCTGTGTTAAGACATATATATATACATATACATATACGCATTTTTACGAGCGAGACAATATCTTGTAACAAAATCAAAATACATTAAATTGTTTCAGAGATTTTTATGTCAACATGATAGTCTACATAAAAAGTATTATCTCTTAAATAATGTCGAAATATTGTATAAAAAGCAAATAATCATGCAAGCAAGTCAAAAAGATGTTACTTGTCAAACGTCGAACGATTGTAACGCGATCAGCAATATCCGTGTTGAACGTCCGTACATAACACTCGTGATAAGAACACAGCACTATTAATAATATATATGACAATTCGAGCTGTTTAGCGTACGTCCGATTTATTTTTGACTAAGTAAACACCAACACTTTAACTAAGTAAAAAAAAACATCAAAATCATGGTGCGAACAATCTACGACAAATGTGGCGCGAGTTGGCGCGAGTCACGAGTCGCGATTGCAGTGATTAACATGGCGGACGCGCATGCGCACAATGTTCGATCACGTTTTATTGTACAGGCTGTATTCGAGATTCATTTTACCAGTATGAAAATCTATAGTGTCATAAACTATGTTTGTTTTCTATAAATTTATATTTTTAAAGATTCTATTTATTGATTGATATTGTTTTTTTTCTTTCTGGTTTATATTTAAAGCTGATATATTTAAAATTTCATAAACACACACAATAAATATTTAATATAAATTTTTCTCTCACAGATAATTTTAGATAAAGTATATATTTCTGTGTAACAATGATTTAATTTTATTATAATATACATTTAGAGATATATATAGCAATTGTAAATTGTATTGCGCTTTCAAAACATGTAACATAATAGGAATTTGAATAAATCTAATCGAATGTTAATTGTCATGAAATAACAATTCCATGTATTAGGTCAAGCTCGTAAGCGTACGAAATTCCTAGCAAATGATAAATTCTTCGAGTGCACTAGGGTTACGGTAACTATTCGGGCGACATTACACAGACGGAATGTAAGACGTAATTGAACCGACAATAGTTACCATACCAAAGAGAAATTAGACAGATTCCAGATACTTTTTTTCCAAATATATTATGTAAGTTGTAAATATAAATATTTGAAGTCTTTCTTTCGAATACTTTACGAATGGATAGGATGTAAAAATTGAAAAAGAGATTTAAGAAAATACACGTGCGTAAAAAGACATAGCGCGCTTGTTTTATTTTGTTTTCGTTAAAAACATTATCTATGTGTGATTGAAGTTATACAATTATACACGCATAAATGTACATATAAATACACATTGATATTTGAAATTGCAGAATTACTACATTATTTCGTACAATAATTAATAATATCAAGTGCATAATACCGATTATTTCACAGATTACTATAATCTCTTCCAATAAGTAGAAAATATTCTAACTAGTTTTACTTAGTGCAATCAATTTGTGGACGTGATAGTGAAAAATCTTATGTGTAAAATACAGCATGTGAAAAAGTACATTTATTACGTATACTCTAAAAAGGTACAGTCTCTCTCTAAAATTTATCTATTATATGCATTTTTATCAAATAAACTTGAGCACTCTGCAAATGCTTGTGCATCATTGGGCAGAAACTTTGTTTTGTTTAACAATGTTTTTTATCGAGATAAAAAAGATGTGTATTTATCTTAAATGTTTAACTAACGTGAAAATTTGATATTATAGTAAATGGTACATATATAATTATGTTCTATACATCCTTATGGAGTTTGTAGCTTGTTTTAAACATATAATACAATATTACATCATATTATGATGTTATATTATAATATATATTTTTATAGTTTCTGGCAACTAAAATAAATAGTTATATACTGTAACTTGTGTCCTACATATTATAAACATACTACTTGTTTTATAAAAAAAATATTAGAAAATGCTTATTTCTGAGTTTTCTTGAACGCACATTCGTTAGAAACAGATTAAAATTATTACAAAAGTAAAATACAATCGAAGATAAAAAGGAATGTTGATGTCCGCGCAATATACGTGCAAAAAAGTGCACGTAAGCTGTCACTGTATTTTTACTTCTTTTTTATACTGTCATATTTTTATATCACTGTCATTCGTATTCCTTATCAGGAATATATAAACTATCATATTTGTTTTATCTAACTGTGTTGTCAAAGTGTTAGTGTTTCTTAAAAACATGAATTAAAATTAAATTTGTTGTCTATTTATCAATTTATCTTTTCTGTTTTTTGTGTCGATTTAAGAATATTCGGTTATAATCAGCGTGTTGAGCCTGGCACTAGGATTTTGAATTCCTAGTAATGGTTTGCACAACACGCTGTCCCCAATATGCTTCCAAATTGAATGGTTTAAAATCTGTAAAATAAAATACAATGTATATATCTTTACAAGAAAATTATCACTTTCTAAAACAGATTTTCTTAAATAAGACATTTAAAATAACTTGTTTCAGAAAAAAAAGCTGAACAAAAACAACCCAAAGATTCAGGATTAAGATTATCAATATAATCCTAAAAAATAAGAAACAAATCACTTACTTTTTAAATGTGGATTTGGCTCATGTTCTTGATAATATGTAACTGTTGCTCCATTTTTATGATTCGAGGAATTACTGTGTGATTGACTATGAGACATATCTAGTTCTCTAGATACAGAATTCCAGGCTAAAAATTGAAATAGGATATACAATTCTTCTAGAAACACATAACTTTACACTTTAATTTGAAGAAAATTATGAATATATTTGATACTCACAGTCTAAAATATACTTGATCAACTCACAATGTTGCGTTACTGCTTCTGATTGATGTTTTGAAGGTATTGAGGAAGGTTTCTTCCCATTCATCGTTGTCATAGTTGTCTGTGATCTACTGCTGTAAACAGTACAGTTGTGATAAAGACATCAATTACAAATATAAAATTCTCTTATCTAGAATATTTAAGAGAAAATATAAACTTAACTTTTTCTCACTCTAACCTTAACCTTCTATCTCTAATCCTAACCCTTTTATACTAACCTAAATCAAACCTACCTATGAAAGAACTCTTATTTTTCTTATTTTTCTCAGATGATCAAGTATGGAAAAAAAGCTTCAATTAAAAAATGAAAATTTTGTGATTTTGTGATTAAAAGAACACCTAACAAGAAAAGAATAAAATGAGGATATTTATATGTGACTACGTAAGTAATCTTCAATTGTTGTCAAGTTACTAATTTTACATATATATGCACACACATATAAAGACAGACTATAAAAATCCATTTCTCAAAACAGCGTCTCGAACAAAACTCATATTTTACGATAGCATATATATAATTTGATAATTCTGTCTCTCGTAATAGTATTGTCAATACAAGCATAAAATAAAACTCGTAAAAACGCACACAACACAACAACTGGACTCTTTGTGATAAGTAAACCTCGTTTTGATAAACCATGTATTTATTCATAAATAGAGTCGTTTATAAGGCAACTTATATTAGACATTACGTCGAACATGCAACCCGCCAATAATTAGCCATGACACGATTTCCACATGCAATACTTTTTAGATATATATACCGCACGTGCTAAGAGAATTGATATTTACACAGGCGTTATCTTGTGAGCGCGTTCTCGGGAAACAGAACGGATATAAATAGTTCGATTCATTCTGGACGAAGAAATTCTTTGGGAGCGATTTTCTTCAAATTCCAAGGATTCTCGAACGTGAAACAATACAGAGTGCACAATGACGAACGGGGGTGAGTAAACGTTAACGCGGGGAAAATGGCGGCAGGAAAGCGCGGGCGCTTTTCCGGTTTCGTTTCAATGAACAGCTATCTGTCCAACGCGAGAATCTCTTCCGTACGCTTTCATGCGTACGTTGTTTGATCCAGATCTAGGAAAATACGCGGTAATGCCAATGATAACGGAGATAACGACTATGACTAACACACACGATCACGCAAAGGCGCGTGCACGACACGCGTAAAGAATGTCGCATCAGGTTTCAATAAATACCTCATTTTCTCGCCTAGCTCCGTTGTGATCTCACGACGACGTTGCGATTCCATCTGTCTTCGCGGATAACGATGACCGCTGGGATACACAGCTGCCTCAACGGAGCCGCGGGATACGAGTGGCAGTTGCGAAGCCAGTTCCGCTGACTACGAGACAACGTGGTTTAGCGTGTGACACAAGAGTGTTCGTGCTTGCTTACCCTCCTCAAAACGACAACTGTCAACAATCGGAAGACACAAACTCGAAACTAGGAACAGAGAGAAGTCTGAGAGCGACCATAAGAGAATGTGTAATCACTTTTCCGCCCCGTAAACTAGCGCACGTCCACGGGTGGTACACATTGGAACTACGCAGCCAGTCCACGAGCGACATGTCGGTACGCTATGTCCACAGCGTGCGGTTCTATTCCGTGCTATGTGCACGAGTTTAAATGGTCACATTCTTTAAGTGTGTGAGTATATTCGAGAGCGTGAATTTGATTTACTTCAAGAATTAAAATAGCCGATTTGTGAAATCAGAAAGGAGAACAGGAAGGAATGGAAAATATACAAATTTGCAACTTCCCACACAACATACACGTAATTGTCAACAAAGGAATATTTTTAAGCGAGCAGCATCAGAATTCGTAGAGTGTACTCAGGTACCATCTCCTTTATCATCATTTGCTGCTATTTGCTTTT